AACCATGATGTGCTAGACTGCTAGACCATCGATACAGAAGCTTCCATCCTGTATTTCTCCGAAAGATGAAAGCCATGAGGGCTAGCAGCCATCCATTTTTGAACCCAAATATCATATGGTTGGTCCTAAATCCCGTCAAATCCCAGAATGGTTGGTCTTATACCAACCATGTTTGATCATTTTTGTGGTTAAATCAAATCCCCAATTTCAGGAAATCCAATTTTTTGATGAGTTTCGATGGTTAGATATCACAGGGCCTGACCCTGGGGTGCAGGAGGTTCGAGCTTTATCAGTCTGCGCGGCTTTGGGAAACACCTTGGCGGAGCACAAGAGTGCCATGGGCTGTGATGGCCGGGGGTCACACGGGTTGTACTACCCCCATAGATAGGGGAATGATCCGAATAAACGGGAATTCCCAAGAATCAACTATTCTAAGGGATTTTCCAGAGTGGCAAATTCGACATCAAGTTGAACGGCGGAGATCTTTCAAAGACTCGCACGGACGTGGTCTCAATTTGATGTTAAAACTTCGAAGCAACAGAACAATGATCTTTGATGATCTTTTGGAACTTGAAATGGCAGTGTGTCAAAACCTTGTACCCCTGGTGAACATCAAAATAGCTGGTAGATGGATGTTCATCCATGTTCATCCCACTAAAAATGGTATTAATAGGTATTGATCCATAGCCAAATAAATTTCAATGGATGTACCCTCTGCTTATTTAACATAGCCATGGAAAATGGCCCATTTACAGATGATTTTCCCCATAAAACCTCCATTTATTTCATGGATTTTCCATGCCGAGGTCCTGGGAAGGTCCTATCGCCCTGGGCCTGGGTCACTGGGCTTGAAACAAGTGACCCTGTTGGGCTTTACGAATGAAGCGTCCAATGGATTGGTTTAAGGGAACATTACCCTCTGGTAAACATACAAAAAGCTATTGAAAATGGCCATTTATAGTGGGTTTACATGGGTTTATCCATTGAACATGGTGATTTATAGTGGATTTTCCCATTGAAAACGGTGATTTAGTTCGTGGATTTACCCATTGAACATGGTGATTTTCCATAGTTATGTAACAGTTTACCAGAGGGTAATTGTGCCCTTAAACGAAAATCCATTGAAACGCGACATGTTCTTCCATGGTTGAAACCGCTTGAAACCTAATGAAAGAGTGGTTTCCGCTGGCTTCAATGAATAGGCATCAAGCGACACAAAATTGGCAGGATGACTGCGAGTACCTTAAATGTACGTGGGTCAAACTACCATATGATGTGATGGTTTAATGCCCACCACATCCAAAATGTGGGCCCCCCAGACTTTGTTTGGTTCCAGGGTCAACCATCTAATCTAGCGTCTACGGGATTTTGTGGAGCAAAGTTCTGTTCTTTTCCATTTCGTTGTCTTTGATGCAGAAGGCATCAGTTTGTTTTTCTCCAACTTTGATATGTTACCACTGACCATGAGGTCTTTTGGCTTCATTTGTTGGCTCCGTCCCCTTTGTCGCTGGTGAAGGATTCCCTGTCTTTTTTGATACATCTTGAGCTGGACCCATATCAAGCATGAAGAAGTAAGTGCATACTTCGTATCCCACCATCCAACCAAGCAATAAATGTTTTACAGCAATGTCCAACCAACAAACAAGTAAATCAGTAATTCATACTTGCACGATCTCAAGCAATAAATAGTAAGGAACGGATATTACCCTCCCCCAAATTAACATAGACCCTGCATGACCCTGCCTATTTGATGGTAGGTTTATTCTTTGGTTTCCCAATATAATCCAACCACATAAATTAAAATGTAGGTCAATATTCCATACATGGAGCATTAATATGGATTTTCCATGATTTTCCCACTTCTTCCCATTATTTACCAATGATTTTCCCATTTTTTTTCATCGTTCCTCCCATAATTTCCCACCATTTCATTACTGCCAGACATCCCCCCCATTTCCTCCCCTGCCTGAGGCGCGCTTGCACGATCTGTGCGCCTCGCAGTCCTCGCGCTTAGTGCGCCCGGCCATGCGATGTTTGTGCCTGGCAGCGCAAGCAGCACCTTAGCAGCGAGTGGGGTTTAAATGTGGGGAGATGTGGGGAATGGTTTTTCTGAGAAAAAAGGGGATACCCGACTTTTCCGATTTTTTCTTTGGCTGGTGAATAGGGAGATAAACTGATCTTAATATTAATGAATGGGATATGACTAATATTATTAAAAATATAACAATAATATGGACAAACACATATATTATAGAATAAAGATTGTTTACCAATCTTGATTGATGGGATATGACTCGGATATATGATATATCTGACCAACAATATCTATGATATTTGGGTCTGTCTGAAAATGATTGCCTTAAAACATGGCAGTTGTACTGAAAAACAGATTATTAATCATCAGATTTGGGGTGTCCTATTCTCAGACAAACCCATTTAAGAGCTTGCACATCATCGCCAGTGGGCTTTCAACCCACATACAAGGATGGTTCCAGCTGCATAAAAAATGTGATTTTACTGAGTATTGAAGCCCAGCAATGGGGAATTCAGCAGCAACACGGGTGATTTTGCCAGTAACTAGTAGGATCTTAGTGGCAAACATGAAGTTTCAACACGTTTCAACACAGGAACACATGGGGATACAAGCAACAATGGTGAGGCCAACCTACCAGATATAAATGGTATTACAAAGTCATACCTATGCACAACTGAACAAGAAATTCTTTGGGACTACGGCCCAGTCGTAAGAAGTACGGGACAATCAGTGTATGGGATATTTTTCCCTTGTGAGTGGGTTGGGCAACTGCCAAGATTAGGTGGGCTTGACAGAGACTGGCTAGAACTAGGGCACTAGGGTTTTGGCCTGGGACTTCACTGCAGTTACAGCCGCAATCAATAAAAATATTGGGGTTTCATAGAATATCTCAAAACCATAGCTTGAATCATAGGCTTTAAGACTAAGTTCTGGTCATGACTTGGATGCAAGGTAATCCCCATGAGCCCATCCCCCCAGGAGGACAACTTGAGCCCGATCCTGCGTCACTTGCGCCCGGCCTTGCAGCTGCTACGGGCACAGCTGGAGGCGGTTTGAGGAGTTTATCCCCCTATGGGTTCGATGATTTTCCCAGCTATCATTGTGAACCAAAACCTCCATATTTTTTAAAAGGAGATTTCCCAGCCTGCCATGTTTGATGAATTTGATTAGCGTTTCTTTTTTGTGGCAAAGAGGAGGGAAGCATACTGCAAATGTTGGAGGAAACAGTTGTGGTTGGAAGCAATCATTATGTGTTGGGTTGATCCCACCCAAAATCATGGTTGATTCTGGTGGGCTGCCAACCAGGATTTGCGGCATACGCCAGTGGAAGGTCCATTTTCTCTTTGAAGATCCAGCATGGCAATTAAAGTCAAAGAAGTAAACGTCGCCAGCAACTCAATTGAAATCCAACCATATGCAGAACATGTACCTGCCGATGCTTGTTCTTCGTAATTTGTTGAATAACACAGCCATTATTAAAAAACGGTCCAACTATTGATTGCAAAGCATAGACATTTCAACAAGGATTGCTAGTTATAAATTGGTAAACCATACAATATTAGGCAGCCCAAACATTCTTGGAAAAAGAAAGAGACCCAATATTTACATTTACTGGTCATAGTCATAGTGATAACAGTGATAACCATGAATCATCATGAAGCCATTCTTGGCAAAGCAATCACCATTTCACCATTCCTCCAAGCATCACAACGCTCCAGGCTTCCCAACCCACAGCATCGCATGGGAACTTGCTGCGTGCAGCGTGGATGGCGGCCTGTGCTTGCGAGTTTTGCGCCTTGGATGCGATTGCCGGGGTTGGAAGCCGAAGATTCATGGATTCAAAGGTCATCCTGGAGTAGATGGAATCGGGTTTCGTTGCGAAACATCCCGGTGAGGAATTTTATGGACGTATCTTTGAAAAAAACATATTCTACTGTATCTATTTCAGAATTATTATAGATCTGTGGGGGCGTGGGGGAAGTAATTTTTAACATATGTATTGACCAGTCGAACATTTGGATATGATATAAACAGCTATATGATTTAAGTTAAATCCAGATTACAACAAGCTCATTCTAATCAATTCGCTTCATTTTTAAGCTGGTCACGGGTGTACCAGAGTTTTGACCCATCCCCAAATGATGGTTGACGATGTGGGTATGGGGCAAGACCATGCAAAACCTATAAACTTCATTAAACCATCATTGGAAGGAAACTGAACGGACTGTTCAAGGATTTTGTGTCAGTTGCGCTTTTGGACATACTTATGTGATCCGATATGTTCCAGAATTTTGCAGCTTGTTCAGCTTGTTAGCTAGTTGGGCTAAAAAAAAGTCATATTCTCTCAAGGTCACTTGAGATTCTAATGCTTCTTACAGAATTTCGCACCTCACTTCACTGCTTGAGTGTCTCTGAGGTGACCTGAACAAAATGGCCAGCCCTTCTGATTTGGGACTTCTGGCGACGCACCTTGGTTGACTTGTCGATTCAGCTGGGAAACTGAAGATGTGTATTTCATGTGTATAGTCTTCGCACTTAGGACAGCCATAACTTGAGCAAAAGCACTACGTTTCGTTTGTTCCCAGCAGTTGCCTTCGTTGAATTGTTGACCAGGACAGCAATGCACAGCGAGAAGAGGGGCATGTTGAAACGGAATAGGCGCGGATAGATGCAAAAAACGTGGTTCCCTACAAATCCCATTGTCCCTAGCAGCAATTCTCCATTTGGCGGACCCCCACATGAATTCAATACTCAACCAGAATTCCCGGGGGGTTGTTTAGTATAATATTTACGTGCAAGGGATCATTTCTGCATTTCTGATGAGTGGGGAATGCAGATACAACAATCATTTCCAGAGAGGACATCCCTGGCCGTTTATTCCGCATGGCTCAAGGCAAGGCCTGCCACCCCCCGCTGCCGCAAGGCGAAAACCCCGCGCCTTTTTTTCTTTTGACGGCAGGAGACCATGATGCAGCTGTTCATGATGCAAAGTCTGCTGTGGAGTCTGGCTGATGGTAGCGATTGCGATGGCATTGACGTCTCACTCTTACAGACACAGCTCCGTTTAGACACGTCGCGTTTGTTGGAGCCTATAGGGCGGAGCTTCTTTTCAGAGGACCCACAGCAGAGTGCGGAGTTTTGGATCAGATATACCAGAGCAGAACGCATGTCACTTGAGGAGATGAAGGTTGCAGGGTTGCAGGAAAGCTCTGAGAATGCGGCTGTTCTGGTGAAGAAGCCGGATGGAACACCCTTGGAACAACTCTATTTTCTGAAGGTTCCTAATTGGAAAAGTTCCAAGAACGTGACCATGAGGGACTTTGTTGAGGCTGCCGATCTCAGCTGGAAAAAGGTCATGAGACACGAGCAGGCCTTCAGTCCATGGTCAGATTTCCATGACGGCCACACGATGGACACCCTGCGCTTTAATCGTTTGAAAAAGGATCAGGTGTCCTTCCAGCTCTATGGTTCTGGCAGTGTGGGACGCGCATACATCCCACATACCACTTCCACCATGGAATGGTTTGGAGAGGAATGGGATGTTTCGAAAGATGCCTATGCCTCCAATGTGAGTTTTGACTACACGGAGGTGGACAAGTGCCGCAACTACAGTGCAGATGACCACACCTTACCCAATCGAGCCTTTTGGAAAAGCACCTTTGCCGTCCTGAATGTCACAGCTGCCCGGGATTTTGCTGTTGATGTCTTGCATGCAAAGCCCCGAAAAGTCAATCCATATCCTTGGCCACCGAAGCCCGGATGTATCGCAGTGCAATGGCTGAAACTGCCGCATCAAAATGATTCGCTCGCCTTTCAATTCCATTTTGTGCAGGACTTTGTGTATGACACGGTTCTTTATGGCCTTCCGGAGTTTCTACGGTACCAGCGGGAGTTCTTGAAGTCGACCAAGGGATGTATCAACGGTTTCATGCTCAATAATTTGATCCTGAGAACGGCATCTCTTGATCCTATCGTGAAACGTTTGAACGCGCTCGCTGCGCGATACTTTGTCTTTGAGATTGCTGCAGGCAGGGTGGAATAGGGTGGAATTGCCATAAATGACACGTCAATTTGGGATAATTTGAGCACGAGTGGTTTGGGACTCGAAGCCTTTTATCGTAATTACCAAAGGGACCCAGCAGATCAGTGAACTGAGCAAAACTTACTGTTGAAAAGCTATGGAATGATCAAGGCCGTCAAGGCCATTTCACTCTCAGTGCATGTTAGAGGATTTCGTTTCTGGGTAGGACATGAGTTAAACCCCTGACAGGTAAGTATGCACTGCTCTTCTCATTTCCTGGGAACGAAGGTATCACTTTGCAGATTCAATCTTCTCACTTGAGCTATGTTGCTCCAAAGCCTCTACGGATTTGCAGCTGAAGGGCGTTGACCGATGCGCCGAGATCGACGGAGCTGAGGAGCTGGCAAGAAATTGAATGCGCCACTGCTTGTGGAGTGCTGCAGGAATTGAACTCAAGCCCACGACTTTGTTTTGTGGGCAACATCCAGTTGTTGGGATTACCAGCTGGTAAGCTCCGAACACATATTTTGTTTCAAATTTCACAGCTGAAGACGCCTTGGGTTCTCCTCCAACTTACCTTTCTGCAAACCACCGCATCAAACATGTTGGGCAGGCGTGATGATCGTTTGGTCGGCACCAGCATCGCAAGGGATTTGCTGCGCATCTTTCAGGCGGCTATCGATGGCTCTCGATGGCTCTCCTTGGGCTGGTTATCTCAAGTTCATGCTGAGCCTTTGATCAAACATTCATCAGTGGCTTACACCAAGAAGTCATTTGGGGATGGGTCAAAACCCTGTACCCCTGGTGAACATCAAAATAGCTGGTAAATGGATGTTCATCCCCCTAAAAATGGTATTAATAGGTATTGATCCATACCATACCCATTTAAGATCCTTTCAGTACTTTCAATGCCATAGCTAGGATGACAAGGGCGACCTGAAAGATCGCCATTGGAGGTCCCAAATCTACAGTGTCTACAGTTGCCATAGACAAGAGGACACACATCATCTACTGTAAACCACCAGTTTGGAGTCTGAATTTTAGATCTCTTACAATTCTTGCAGTGTTTGACATCCCTTTTTTTGGATACTTATTTTCTGACTCTTTGCCAAAACGGTGAGGTTTTTTGCTGGTCATCTTTTGCCGTTCGACTTCTGACTCACCGGCGCCCATCTCGATGTCAGGTTTTTGCCGGCTCGGAGTGGCGCGCGAGCGCGCTGCCCGCGCTGGTGTCATGGCGGACGTGGCAAACGGAAATGCCCCAGTAATGGACAGGTCAATGGGAACATCATTGGCAAATGGGGGGAATTTCCGTTGCCATGTTTGATTGCAGAGTAGGTAGGAGAATAACGTATTCACATTTCTATTAATATGATATATACACATTGATATAGTATGTTTCCATTATGGTTGTGTTTGATTCCCCCATTTAATCCATATCCAATCCTGTCCCCAGTATATCCCCAGTCATGGGCTAAAATCAGGCACTACCGCGAGCTGCGTTCTCGGGATTTGTTGGAAACTTGCAAGAACCAGACTAGAACATCATTTGCTGGTTATGACTCTAGTTGACGATTGAAATGCTTCCGTGAGTCCTGTTCCAGTTGTTGATGCCATTATTTTCAGCAGCAAGTATTGGGCTTACCTCAAGTCTCAAGACGACTTCGAGCCTGGAATCGCAAAGTCTTCGCGTCAACTTGAAATCGTTCCATCATCCACTTTGTACTGATTAATGCTGGCTGTGAAGTGGGATGTTGTCCACGTTTAGACAAGAAGATTTGCTTTCTTCCTAGGATTTCTCGAACAAATGGACAAGCTTTAACAGATTGCGAATGACTCCAGCGACCAATTTCTGGTTGCTCTCACTGTTCAATCTGTTTTCCGTCCCTGTTTGGACCAAAAGACATGAGTCTGAAATTTGGAATGGATTTTGTATGATTTTGTCAAAATCAAGCCTATCGAGGACAAGCCTCAATTTCAAGAGGGATAGATGGGGAGTCGTGACAAGGCACCAAACTTTGTCAGGTTCGAAACAGCCAACTGCCCCGTGCAGGCTTGGGTCGGTTTGGAAACCCTTGGGAATCCCATGCTGATAACTCCCCAGAAAGTCCAAATGACTGATTTTACCCCTGGGTTTAATTTTCGTGGATGATCGGAAAATAAGTAATAAATCATTTGAATTGAAAAGGGAATATTTGATCATCAATTTCACAGGGAGTTTCCTGCAATTCCAAGCATCATTGGACAAGTTTACGGGAGCATTTGCAGGAAACCCCTGACAAAAACGATGATCAAAACCATGATTCACTACCAATCCATTGAAAAAAATCGATCCCACCATATTTGATGGTCAAAACCCCAGCAATTTTCCCACCATTTTCCCAATCCATGGACCTCCGAGGTTATGGCTGTGGGTTTTGCGCTAAAACGTCACTGGCACCTGGTGCGCTTCCGGAGTCGCTATCTTGGGGGATGAAGATCTGTAACTGCCAGCTTTTCTGAAGGGATATACAGGTGTTTCTCTAAATGGGGGATTGGGTTTCAATAGTTTCAATACAAAAATTGCAAAAACCATCCTAATTTTGGATGATTTAGGGATCGCCCATGTTACGAACCAGCCATATAGTATATGGGAACAGCATCTCTAGATGTGCATCTAAGGGCATTTGATGGGGTATATAGCGAACACAATATGACAATATGATCGAAGGAAGTTTAGAAGTCAAACTTCCGACAATATGGACAGATGCAAAAGCAGAGGTGGGAAGAGTCAGAGAAGAGAAGAGAAGAAGAGAGAAGATCAGAGAAGAGAAAGAGTCAGAAGACAGAAGATGCAGGTGCCCGAAAAGGGAGAAACGTCGCGATTCACTGCGTTTTCCAATAATTTGTGGCTCCGGAGGGTGGAAAAGTAGGCTCGCTAAAGCGGCGGGTGCAGCCAGCTGGCCAGATGAGAGATGAAAAATTGCACGCCGCTGTGGCGCGAAGCACATGCCTAAGTCAAAATGTACAAAGCACACCAGGTTCGGACCACTTTTGGAAGTTGAGATGATGAAAAAGCGCACGCCGTTGTGGCGCGAAGCACATTTCCAAGTCAAAACGTACAACACACACCAGGTTCGGACCAGGTGAGATGATGAAAAAGTGCACGCCGTTGTGGTGCGAAGCACATATGGAAGTGAAAAGCGTAAAAAACTGACTGTCTCGGACCACTCTTGGAAGTTAGGATCTGGTTTTGCGTGGCATGCGCAAGGGATTCGGCACCTTGCCAAAAGTGAGCAAAACGTGAGGGTTTTGTAGCTGTAGCAGTTTCAAAAACATTGGCAGGCGTGGGGCATTTGAAGAGGATTTGCAAAGATGCATTCGCGTGGCAGGCGCTGTTACAAGAGACATGTTCACCAGAGATTTTAGGTGGTCAGGGCGAAGATTTCCTGAGATGGGTTGCATTTTGGAGCATCAGATCGTCAGGTTTGGTAATTAAGATGATTTTGCGTGACAGGTGCAGCACTTCGTATGACCTGGCCTCACTTTGTTGTGGCAGACGCAATACTTTAGACACATTGACATGGACTGCAAAAATCGCAAAACGCATTTGTACAAGGCCGTCAGCTCCGCACTCAACTTTCCATTTTCGAAGGAAGTCGCTTCGTGTTTGATGTTGTCAACTTCGAAAGAGGAAGTCTCACAGAATTGCTTCGTTTTTGACGTTGTCAAGTTCAAAAATTGAGGGCGTCTCTCAAAATTGCTGCGTTTTTGATGTTGTCAAGTTCGAAAACTGAGGAAGTCTCGCAGACTAGCTTCGTTTTCAAGCTTGCAGATAGAAAGATAAATAGATGACAACTAAAACTACCACTTCCACAACACTAAACTACAACTGCAAATATACTACCCCGCATTGCACTACAGCAACGCTCGCCGGTATGACCAGCCTATCAGATGGTCAAAGAAAGATGGTGCTGTGGTTTTTGCCAATGTTGAGTCTGACAAGAGCAAGGGAAACAATCAGAAAGACAAGAAGACCGACAAGAAGCACAAGAAAGATAAAACCAAGTCGGTGAAAAAGAATGAGAAGCCATGAGATGTCAGATGTGTATTGTGGATGCCAGATGTGTATGATGCCAGATTTTGTGTGGCTGGATGCCAGATGTGTATAGTGGCGCCGTTTTTGTGTCAGATGCCTTGACAATCATTGCTGCACTGCTGGGTGTCAAAAGCTTCAGTTTGCAAAATCAAGCCACGTTCAAGTTCAGATGTCTTCTTGTGTTTGTTGCTTACTGTGATACTGGCCGAGGCAAAGGACTTGCTCTATGGCCTTCTTTGTTTACAAGGCATTCGGTGGTTGTCAACCTGTGAAATGTCTGTAGGGATGGTTTTCAAAGAGAGATCAATTTTCTGATTTTTTTCTTTGTTGGATGTACGCGGCAAAGAGTTTTCCAACCGGATTTGCAGGAGACATCCAGAAGCAGCCATTGCAGTGAGGCTTGTCTGGGCCCCAGTTGCAAGATGCCAGATGCAGGATGTGGCTTTTCCACACGCACTGTTTGGCATTTTTTGGCAATGTTTCCATTTTTTTGCCTTGCTTGCTGTTTAACAGGAATTGCACCCTGGCACTCTGGCTTTGCACATTGGCTTTGAAAATGTTTGAAGCTGTGCCCCGATGTTCTGCATTCACAGGAGTTGTGAGCTCAGATTCTTGATCCAGTCCATGCCTTCGCTGTGCTTGGCCGCAAATCACGTGTCTTTGCTCAACAGTCATGTCAACAACTGGCAACTGACACTCATTTTTCATGTCTCATTTGACCCACTTGCACCTGAAACGCAACATCGTGCAGTTGACTGTGTATTTCCACTATTGTGCAGTTGACTGAATTGTTTTGCAGATATTCTTCAAGCCGTTTGTGACAGAGGTCACCATGCCTTGCAGCTGTTTCCTTCCATATCCTTCCATTTGTTGGCAGGCCTGACATGTTTGATGCCTGTTTCTTTGACCCCTTCGCCTGCTTTGACTGACATCTTGATGCAATTGGCTACTTGGTGATCTTTGTTGCAGCACCTTTGCTCTGCACAAGCGGTTTTGGGTTCAAACAGCATACGCAGTGATCATGGCGGTGATGAATGTTATGAAGAAGCCAGCTTCGTTGAAACGACCTAAAAAGAGACTTGGCAAAGCTGTCCTGAGATGTTCCGTTCACCATGCACGCTACTGTTTTGGAATTCCATTCTTGGGTTTCACAGGAAAAGCACTGGTACACTGAGCTTGCCTGATGTTTTGCTGCCAAAGTTGAAGAAGTACAAAACTCCGTCCAAGCAGCGAAGACTCTCATGGATTGACTCAGGTGTCTCGCAGTAACTGTTTTGTTGGTTCTATAACTCCAGTGGAAAATGATTCAGTGATTGGTTTGGAGCTACTGTATGACTGTCTTGTCTGCAGCTGAGTCTACGAACATCGCATCTTTCCAAGTGGGTATCCTGCGACAGATTGGGATGTCCAAGATGTGCAGTTCTCGAGACTTGGTTATGGTTTGTTACACTTCGTGATTTGATCATCATGCTGATTTCACATGGTTTGTCCAATGCCCGTCTGAGGATCCGTGAACATATTGACTACTCTGCAGCCCGCATGCACATGACTGCAAGGTTTCTGAAGACACTTGGATTTGTGTCATGTCCTGTCAGACACACTGTGTGGCTCCATGACTTGCTTGGAGGACGGACATCTATTCGCAACCAGGTGCGATGGTGTTATACAGCTACTTACTTTCTGGTGTGACGGCTACTTTATAGCGTATGGTATGGTTATTGTTTGTCTCTCAGGTAACAAGCCTGGCAGACCAATGGCTGATCAAGATGAGAGGGGTAAGTTGAAGTTCATGAGGGAGGTGTTCTTCGTTGTTCTGCTTTTGAGGTACAACTTGCGTGATATGCAACTTGTTTTGTAACAGATGTTTTCTGTGTAGAAATGTGTTGCAAATCATTTTCAGTTCAATGTGATGATGCTTTTCTGAACCTGAAGCGTCACTGTGTTGCTGCTGGTTTGAGTGCTATGTCCAGGAGAGTCAGGTATGGTGATGATGATGATGTGCTGCTGCTGCTACTACTGCTGCTGCTCCTCCTCCTGCTGCTGCTGCTGCCACTACTACAACTACAATTACAACTACACTACGTTACACAACACTACACTATACTATACTAATTAACATACATTGCGCTACCACTACAACTGCAACTGCAACTACCATTACATTACACTGCGCTACACTACACTACAACTACAACTACACTACTTTACACTACTTTACGGTACACTACACTAGACTACACTACACTATACCACACTACAGTACATGACTCTACAGTACATTACACTACACCAATTACACCACACCACAACTACAACTGCAACAGCAGCTGCAACTACACTACACTATATAATTACATTACATTACAGCTACAGCTCCACTACTCTACACTACAACTGCAACTACAAAGGCACTACACCACACTACATCCAACCACCTTTCGGTCCATCAGTGGATTCGCCCTGCCATCCGTGATTCACAACAACCAACCTCTCCTATACTTGAAACTTCCGCCACCTCCTTGTGCGATACTACTGGTATTTGAATGTGTCTCAGCAGCTTAGCTTCGGCACTTTTAGTAATGGTGGCAGTCCATCTGCCACACGTATCATCAGATATCCACTCCAACACTTCCACAAAGAGATTTGCTGTAATGTCGTTTAATAGAATATTATAACATATTAATATACAGAATATTCATGAATATTCATATTGTATATTACTATGTATATAATTGTGTATAGTTTACGCATGTACGGTATAGTATTACGTACACAAATGATTTTTCCCAGCGACAGGTGGGATCCGAGGACTTTGACAAGGTGATTTCCAGCGGCCTCGGTGCCACAGGTTCGGCCGGGCTGTGGCGAACGGGTGTGGAGAGCCCTGAATCGTTGTCCCGTTCATAAACGACTGGGGAAAACCCGCAAGCGGGTGATCATGATGATAATGTGAAGTTGAGATGTAGAATTTGAAATTTGGTAACAGTCAATTGATAAGACATATCTGATAAGACAAGATTCTGTAGGATTTGATATGCAACAGGTTTTGGCAAATGAAGGGGGTGATAAGGAACCCTATATTTTCAGCATCTGGGGTCTTTGGCAAAACCTTTCTGGCATGATGGAAACCCAGGTACCTAGTAGCCACCAGTTTAGATGTTCCACGTTTTGTTTTAGTCGAATCTGCAGCACATGTTTGGATTTCTCACGGGTATTGGAAGAGAATCAACAACTCTATAACAACGAGTCTGCAGGTTTTGCTTTCCGGCATGCAAGTTACAGCCGCAATACCCAAGGCCAAGTACCAGCAATTGCTGATGGCTCCTCATTCCAAGCTCAACCATCATAGCGAAGCAGACCTGAAACACATTGATTTGAACAAGCAACATTTTGAACATGATACTTAGGGGGATGAACATCCATAAACACTAGCTATTTTCGTATTCACCAGGGCGTTCGATGATATTCCAGAGGTTTTGATTCATGCCTTCGCTGAACTAATCATTTGGAGACCCAGAAGCTCTGGGATTTCCATGGTCCCAAAAGACCCACGGCGCCAATCAGTAGTTGGCAACCAGGCATAGTCTCCTTTTTGCTGGTTGTGTCAATTTCATTCAACGTCTATTTTGTTGACCCTGCGGCACCCTATCCAGTTCCGAAGTGGATAACTCCTGGTTGCCACCAATTGTGGCCGGTTCAACCTACGTTCAATTCCCACCTATTCATATCTGTTGTCGGCCCATGGTATGGTTGAACTCTCCTTGGATGATTCGATTCATGAACCCGATCAATCCTAGCTTCATATCATTATCATCATCCCTTCTATAACTATATATTTATACATATTTATATTAATACCACACTTATACGTCATAATGCCATACGCATGTGAGATTGACATATATTGACCATCCATCATTCCTATCTTTAAATACACTCATCCGTTCGCACCTTTCCATCGCACTTCGAGGCCAAGACCTTCTCGCGGAGCGTTCCCTGGAAGTCCTGGCCTCCTTGTGCGACCACCTGAGCCGTGAATCCGAAGAAGGACCCGGTAGAACTATAATTCCCATAATATTCCCATTATAATTCTAACATCAAATGATATATGTATAAGAGTATATAAGAATTATATTCCAATGATATAAACCATTAATGGTCAATAATATATGGGGAAACATCCATTAATCGGGGTAAATTCCGAGGACCTCACTGTTCTCCCTCACTGGAACGATCGTTAGTGGGAATTATCCTACACTATAGCAGCCTTATATTTCAGGTTGTATAATGATTTTATGTTAGTGGGTAAATTGGTTAGTGAATTATTTCGGTTGTAACATTATAATAATTTCGTTGGTGGGAATTCAGGTTAGTGAATTACTTTAATTTACCATAATTTACCCAGATGATCCCGGATGAATCAAAGATGCCAATAGCTCGAGCTAAAGCGTGAGCCTGCCAGTACTCTGTAAATCTACCATAGAATGTGTGGAAGCTCCAGTTAAATCATTGACATGAGATTCGGTCCAGCTTTTTATCTGATACAATGACCTCAGCATATTTATATTTCTACAAACAGTTGCAGTCGCATATATTTCTTCATCCCAAGATCTCTGGGGAACATGCAACTCCTGGACAAAAAAACAGAACTCACCTCCAAATCCACATTTTGATGGTGAAACCCCAGTGAATTCATGTGAATACCATTTTTGACCAAAAACACCGATCCGCTTCATTCAGCAGACAGCAGCACCAAAACATCAAAACCACCAGGGAAGGACGGCTGCACCGCGGTGCTCTCCAAGTTGACCCGTCACCTGCCGGCCGTGCTGCGCTTCGCGCGGCACGGGCTGCACCGCCGCGCAGAGCCCGGGGACGTGGCGCTGCGGCGCATGGCGGTGACGGCGGCGCGCGCCTTGCACCGCGCGGGGCTGGGAGGTGACCCTGGCGGCAATGGCTGGGTGGGGAGATGGTGTTTAGGATGGGTTTACTTTACTTTTATTTTTCTTATTACAAAAATGAAATACAATATAGTAGGATGATCATTATGATGATTATGTATATATGAGAATGATATAATAACAACAATAATAATATAACAATAATAATAACAATAATAATAACAATAGCAATAATCACAATAGTAATAACAACAATAATAATAACAACAATTATAATAATATGGTATAAATCATCAGGGTATGCCGGTTCCATTCCGTTCCGTTTTGTTGTGCCAGTTCAGTTCCGTTCTGCTGCGTTCAAGTCTGTTGATAATATGGCAACTTGAAGGTGCAATTTATTTATTTGTATTTCAGGTGGAGACCAAAAAAGAGTCATTTGTACCTTGAGGAGGCATGTTTGGAACAACTTTCCAAAGCTGCAGCTAGAGCAATAGCAGTGATGTTGGGGATTGAACCTGTTGGCTCCCCATAAACCAAATCACAGTCTTCATTATCATGAAAAATCAATCAGACCATTAAAATTATCATCATCACCTGATGACTAGCATGGCAGATGAACAGCAATTTAGCGGTGCTGAAGTGGCTGCTGCTACCCTGGGAACTTATTTGGAACTATATTGTTTGTTTCGTTCGTGTTTTTGTTTTCTGGACCCAAGACCCTTTGAAGTAATATTTGAAGCCGAACATTCAGGTGTACTTCCTAATTATTTTGGGGAGTGATGACCCTTCAAATTTCTTCTGGTCGACTTTTTGTCGAAGAAACCATTTTCAAAGAATTATTTCGGCAACCTTTCAGTTCCAAAATGAATGGTAGTTATTTGATTGCCAGGTCTTCCAAATATGTTTGAAACTATTCAGGGGGATGGTTGCGGGCCACCCTCCGTACCTAGGGCCTAGGGTTGATCGTGAAACATTCCCGCATTTCCAGGTCGGACGCAATGTTAACTTTCACAAATCAAGGAAATGTATAAGGTAATTATGTAAAAAAAATTAGGATATTTGTCAACCAACAGTTTCAGTTCAATATTCACTTTGACAGGGTTATGAAGAGACTCCATTGAATCACCCGAATCACCCATCCATTTGCTCAGCTCCATTTTATCAAGAACTTGGGTGACAAACTCCGCTTAGGCCAAGAGAAAATGTGCGAAAGACAAGTGTCAGAAAGAAAAAGATGTGAAAACCCAAAGAAACCAACCAAAGCAAAAAACAGCTCACACCAGGATCAAATATGTGCAAAAATCAGCGGGGGTCAGAAAGAAACAATTTGGACACCAAAGGAACTTGTCCAAAACAGACACTGTTGCCTAAAGGTATACCTGTTGGTAGCAGGCAACATCTGCCGCTGCAAAACAACAATAGTTCCTGGCAACGCCAAAGGATAAGGATAGATACGTGTAATTACGTGTATAGTTTTTGCCTGCAGATGTTGCAGACATAGTCCATGTTTTCCAGTTGTTAGTGAAAAAATGCAGGGTCCGGGCGGAGTTGTGGCATTTCACCATGAATCGCTCGTGCCCGATTTCACTATCATAGCATTCGCAGCCCCTTTTCTATACTTTACCCAACTTTCGAGATTTTTGGTCTAAAGCTGTGCTGTGACAGGAAAAAGCCGTCAGCTAGTCTCTTCAAAACACCCATGAATTTCAGAGCTGCAAAGCTTGAAGGTTCAATACTTTTGGCGTTCTTTGTGACCCTGTGGCATGTTGCATATATTTCACCAGCTTGCATGTCCAAGAAACGGTTCCAATTGATGGCTCAAAAGTGTTCCAGGCATGAGAAGAAATTCAGGAAGATTTTTCTGCTGGAGTTTTCAGAGCAAGAGTTCTACAGCATCTGACATTTCATCAGTGTATACGATCAAGCACACATGCGCGCGCACACACACACACACACCTAGGCAGAGGTATGCACACATTCAGACACATGCACCTATACTGACACAAACGCACACACACATACAACACACGCACACACGCAAACACCCACACACCCACACATGCACCACATCCTCACCGACATGTTCACATCTAGCCCATGCATGGATGCGCGCAAACACATGTGCAGAAAAACAAGATACGCACACGCACGCACGCACGCACGCACACACACACACACGCACGCACACACACACACACACACGCACACACACACACACAGGGGGAAACATGTAGCCAGTGCTTGTTGCGATGACCTGGTATGCCGGTGATTCGGAACAGAGTGGGCAATGATTGGGCAATCGCCGTCAAGGATGAGACGCTCCTGGATCCAATATTCAACCATTTGCTTCAGAAGGTGCAAGGCCAAGGCCAAGGCCAAATTCGGTTTGCGGATGAGGTGACGCTTCACAATTCCCAGGTTCATATCCGCACCCGCCGCCGGATTTCGTTCAGTGCTGTTCATGACTGGGTCTCTCGTCAGACGTCATCACTTTCGGCAAAGAAAATGTGGACGTTCCAGGTGCCGAAAGATTCGCCAGCGCAATGTGCAGTGGAGCCGATGACTGATTCTCAGAAGCCTTTCTTGCTGCAGAAGCTCCTCATGCATGCGACGTCTCCACTGCGTCTGTCTATTTCGGCAATTTGAAAGTTATCTAATAGACAACAAAATCTATTAGACATTTTTTTGCACCCCAAACATGAACAGAAATATAAAAGTTCGATGCCCGAAATGGACCATGCAGATAACTTCGAAGTTTGCCAGTTGTTTCCTAGTAGTTTGTTCGAAGCTTGACTTCGAAGCTTGTCAGTAGTTTATCAGTAGTTTATGTTTCCTGTGTTATTATTTCCTGCGTTTCTCAAAAAATTGTGATGTCAAACTTCGAAGTTAACTTCGTAGTTTCGAATGACAACCCAAAGACGGCCCAGAAGTTCCTTCGAAGTTTAAGGGTCAAAAATAGATATCAGATATCTATTTCGGCATTTTTTTGATTATTTTAGTTTTCTATTTTGACAATTTCCTAGGAAATAGATAATATCTGATTTTTGTCTATTTTGTTGTTCGTATCCCATCTAAACCAATCCATTTACAAAATAGTTTGCCAAACATAGATATCTTTAAACATATCTTATATACAAAATTCTGTCTAATAGATAAACATGTATCTATTGTACCTTTTTGCCTAGGACGGTCTACTGGGTAGTGTTTGAAGAACTAAAGTCAGATGCGCTTTCCCACGCATAGGCCATGGTCCTTCTCCCAACAAATGCACTGGTTGGTAGTGTTTCCCATCTGGAGTATGATTTCAAATTAGTAGACATGAATTTCGGCCAAGCATTGCGGTTCAACAAATCCACATAACTTTTTTCTGCCAAGGTCTGGTTTCTCTGATTCGGGAACACCTCGGAGGCCACGTGTCCTTGGTCCAACCAACATGGCTCCGGATGAGGTTGTCACGACTGTCACGACTGCAGCATTTAGGCAAGACATCGGATGGGGCGGCCGTTATCCTGTCCGAGGATTTCATTTTCCCTGGCAGACTTTGCCGATGAACAATTGCCTGACTCAGACGAAGAAGGAAATAATCAGCAGACCTCCCGGAACCTCGACAGAGCTGTGGTGAGCAGGAGGAATGAAGGCAGCCGCTTGAAGCATGCCATCCAGGTCCAGACCAGCCCAGCACAGGCAGCTGCAGGCTGGGCTTGGTGCTAGTTTGAGAGAGTGTGCTGTTGTAGGTAAGACTTGAGTAGGTTCGGCCCAACAAGCAGGCCAGTATGATACCCATGGATGCTGTGCGTTACCTGTTTTGAGATAGTATGAGGTACCTGATTTCTTCGGATTGTTTTGGATGAGCAGCTGCCCTTTAATTATTCGTTCCTAGCGGTGTGATACCTTCAAGGCAGTCTCTGTTCCTTGGGTGGACGTCAAGGTCTTGCTGTCAAAATGAAACTTGATCAGCTCACGATGGAAACTGGAAAGCATCATCCCCCTGCAGCTGGCGCTGCATGACTTCCAACTCCTGATGGTTTGATGATTTTCTTTCCTTGCCAACAAAGTAGCTCCCCAATCTAGCATTTGGGAGATTGGAGCTTGATCCTAGTGAAGAGCGAGAATCCAAAGAAAATTCCGTATCAGAAACCATCGAGTCGGATCAGCGTCCCTGAGCAGCGTCCTGAATCAACATCCAAAGGTTCGGATCAGCGTCGCAGAATCAGCGTCAAAGACGGTCCTGGATCAACATCGTGGATAAATCGGGATGGTCGGGAATGGTCGGGATGAGGGTTTCTTTAGGGTTTCTTTAGGGCCTCTTTAAGATTTCTCTAGGGTTTCTTAGGGACGGTCGGAATGGCCGGGATGGTCGGTGATAGTCCGCGTGCAAGGTGGCCATCTATATTAAACCGTCCCGATCCAACGCATAAAGATTCTGATCCAGGGGCGCCCATCCGACCCATCTAGATTCCGATCCAACGACCCCGATCCGACCCGCACCCTGAGAATCCAACCCCCCAAAGCTCAACTACAAACCAAAGTATCTATTTTGGTTGTTGGAACTTGTGCGTATGAGGAGCGAGAATATAACCACCAAAAACTCAAGATTCAGCCGAAGGAACCATGGACCTGAGCCAAGTGAAGAACGAGAATCCAACCTCCGTTTCGCGCGTTCTGTTCCGTTCCGTTCCCGCTCCGTTCTGCGTTTTGTCGGGAAGGCCGGCGCACCCTGATCATCATGACAAATCTAGTTAGAGCTACCGTTCTCGTACTTGTCATACATGTAATCATCGTTGTTGATTGTAACCAAAAGTCACATAGCAACATAGCAATTCAAAGACTGTATCATTACCATTATACAATTTTGTGTTTTTATGTTAGTGCTAGATGGAAATGGCAACGACGACGACGAGGAGGAGGATGATGATGATGATGACGATGATGATGATGATGATGATGGTGATGATGATGATGAGGATGATGATGGTGATGATGATGATGATGATGATTATTATTATTATTATGATGATGACGATGAAGTTGGTGATGACGATGACGGTGGTGATGTTGATGTGGATGTGGGTGATTTGGCAGTGGATTTGGATGATGATGGATGATGTGGATGGTGTGGATGAGGAGGCTACTTGAAACTGCAAGGGACTGCGGAAACACTTGGAGATGAAAGTGGAGGTTGTCTCGGGTTGAGCAATTCTGGCAGGGACAATCAGACTTGTTTGGTTCTGTTGCGCCATTAGTTCAAATTCAAGACACTCCATTTCCAGTGACAAAGAAACTCCATGCCGTTGGGCTTGGGTCCAAAGATCAGAGCCAAAAAGCAAAGTGTCAGCCATTACAGAAAGATACCGTGTCCAACGTTGGCCCGTGTTTTTTCATTATGACATGATACCCCCGATAATCCACCTTGAAAATAACAAAACCTAAAGTGACACGATCAGTCTATGTACCAACTGGTCGGCAAAACTGTTTCAAATACCAAGTTTCCCCAACCTGCTTTTTGCACGACCAGTGTCTTTTCACTTCCCAAGTCATTCATCTAGCTTTCCACAGTTTTCCCTAGGTATCCCAGGAAGAATACTGGTCACGATTCGCATTGTCACCCATAGTTGACAATCTGATAAACCAAACTATATGGCAATATATATATATACATATGTATGGTAAGCCATTGTCACCATACCCATGGTTCGAAAAAACCATTGTCCCCCAATGTCCCATGGTCTCCCCAAGGGTCAACGGACACCTTTTGGCGTTTTGCAGCCGAGGCAACCCGGCGGCATTGGGCGCCGTCGCCATGACGTCCCTCTTCGACCGATCTTTGCGGCACAACGCGCAGCTGCTCTTGACGGCCCTGGCGCGGAAGGATCCGCAGGTGCACCATGGAGGGTATCCCAAAACCATTGGGAAAACTGCATGAAAAAAAATACATGGGTTGGACCTTAACTGGGGGTACCCCTAATTTTAGGATCAAAACCTAACTTTAGGGTGGTTAATTATGTTTCTACAACAAAATATTGATTTTATCACTATGGATGATTGGCATCCACAGTGTAACTATCCAGTACAACGGATTTTCAGCATGGTTTTCAACACTGCTCAAATTGTAGTATCCCAAGACCATTCGGAAATCCCCACAGAAAATGACCACTAGGTTGGATGATAGCTTGGGGTGGCCTAATTTTAGGGAACACCGAAGTGGAGGGATATAGAATGTGTTTGTATTATACATCCGACCTAAGTGTACCAAGGTGTGGTGATTTCAGGTGATTTGACTTGGATGTACTCGTGTGAGAAGCTGCAAGTGCTCGTAGGTAGAGGAGGCTTCTGATGCCTGCCCCAAAAGGAAACATATCAAACAAGATGTGGGAGAGTGGGAGAGGTTCCTTCCTATATGTTTCTTTGACTGCAGCTGCTGGTTTGGATCTTCCAGCTTGTAGGCAGGTTTTTTGCATTTTTGAACATTCAATGATTTCCCCAGAAAGAAAGCAAAGTTTCGGAACTGAACATTGGAAACCAAGTAACCCAATAGAGTCCAAAAAATTGGTAGGATCTATTTAAGTTGATCCTCCCAATTTTCTGGAGCGCCGATCCCAAGAAAAACGGCACGCACCACAGGCCTTGGCGCAATCCCAAGGTCAAGGGCTGCGGGAGGCCTTTGCAGCTTTGTTGTGGCAAGCACCGCACCAGCTGGTGGTTTGGCAGATGGGTCGGAACTGACTGGCGCAACATGAATTGTTCGCTGGATATGACTACATCAATAACTATGAACATTATTGTCAATCATTGGTCGTTCATAGTTGGTTGGATATGGGAATGGGTCACATTAATCATAGGTTGGACATATTACTATCTTAATCCATTGCATCCATTGACTCTGGGTGAATTATATAATATTATATATATACATGTCGCTGGAAAGGTGGTTAGTAAGTAGGGGCCAACATGGCCAAACATTTCAGGTTAGTAAGTTTATCATAGTTCAGCCGCGTTCAGCCAGAGTGATCATTATTGTGATGTTTGGTTGGATATGGGAACAGACCACATTTCTTCTTGGTTGGGTAATGTGCCGGAAATTTTCTCCAAATTCTTGGGCGTGGAGCTACCCCGACGTAGAAATAGCATTGCTACTGTAAGATTGATAAATGATTAGATATGGACCTTGAGAATGAGTGGCAAAGAATGGCAAACATTTTTGGATTGAAGCAACTAAATCAACTTGGGGATTTCCGATGTGGATCTAATTCCCCAAAGGATGATGAAGTCCTCACAGGGCTAAGTTTTCGATGGAGATAGACATACACCTAATTTTTCAGATAACAGGCCCCTATATATATATTCTATATATATATATTCTATATATATATATATTCTATATATATATATATATAATATATATATATGTATTGGGTACCATGGCCTGCAAATCCTTCCGGGTCAGAGCATTCCTACGCCTTCGGATGGTAAAGGTAATCCCGGTAATCCCCACAGCTGGAATAGGGATCAAGGCCCAATCTCTGGTCTCCTGATCCGCGGTAGTATGAAATGGCCGTTTTTTTTTCTTCCACTGGTAAAATACAGAAGCACCCATGTATTTAGATGTTGGGCGGGCCAAGGCAAACCTTCACAGGGGTAGCATGAAAAGGCACGTTCGAGATGTGAGAATCTATATGCTTAAATGTAGGTGGATGATAGTTACCATCCATCTATAGTGATCTGGTTGGTGGTTTCAAACAAGGCTTTTATGTTCCATTTCATATATGGGATGTCATCCTTCCCATTGACAAACTCCATCATTTTTCCACATGGTTATTGCACCACCAACCAGTGATTTTGGGGATGATTTATCTTACTGGTGCGTTTTACGTAGGGTTGCTGGATGGGTTGCTGGGGCTTGCTGGGATGATGACATTACGAATGTGATGACTGGGATAATTCCCGAAAATTCCCTGCCTTGAGCGCCGGTAAGTTATTAGCTTTACCCTCTGGTAATTTAACATAGCTATTGAAAATGACCATTTATAGTGAGTTTTCCCATTAAAAATGGTGATTTTCCATAGCTATGTTAGTTTACCAGAGGGTACCACATTGACCAACAGGGCCCCCTCGAGGCAACCCCTGGGATCCCTCGTTTCACGAGGCGCCGTCCGCCCGGAGTTTGGGCATTTCGAGTGCCGCCGCCAGCGCGGGCAAGAGCTTCACCCTTTGCGGCGGGGGGGGGGGACTGAAACCATGGATCTTAGTTACTGGATGGGGAAGATGTCGAATCTGTAAGGGATTTTTTTAATGAATGGAATATAGAAAATCTGTAAGTTTTTTTTTTTTATGAATGGAATATAGAAAATCTGTAAGTTTTTTTTTTCATGAGTGGAATAGATTTGACATGACCACTGTCATAGAACAAAAAGGGGCAAGAAGTGGAATAGATATGGCATGGTATGAATAGAAGAGGTGTTTTCTTCATCCCATGTGATATGTGATTAGTGAATGGTGATGAGTTGTCACAGAAGTGGCTGGGAAGGTGGGAATATGAAATACCCACTGAACGAAAATAAAACCCTCTGGTGGAATATTTTGGATCTATTCATGAACAAAAAGGGTCCCGATTTAGTGGTGGGTATTTCATATTGGATCAATGAGATTATATATACCCATGGCTTCCACTGCAAATCCTGATTCAAAGCCCATTTGTAGCTGGCTATCTCACCATTACATTCCCATTACACCCGTTATTGCTAGTGAATTTGAGATATACCCTCTGGTTATGACTAACATAGCCATGGTTAAAATCACCATTTTTAATAGGTAAACCATCTATGAATGGGCCATCTATACCATGGCTATGTTAAATAACCAGAGGGTAACTATGAAATCCTCAGTTCTACCGGGCCGTTTGGGTCCAGGTCGTGTGGCCCGTGGCAAGTGGCTGCGGCTGGTGCTGGGCGAATTGACCAACACCTTCGCGGAGGGTGGGGAGGGAAGGGGCTTGAGCAGCGCCGTCATCAAATTGCCGAAAATGCTTTGGATGTACAATAGCCTAACAGTCAGTCATATTCCCTGGGGAAATTATAACGACCTCACTGCGACCTCACTGGAATCATGGTTAATAAGAGGAATCATCCCAACATGGCCTTATTTCAGGTTAGTGAATTATTGTAATTTGCCCAGTCATATTCCGCATGTCTACTGCTTGCAATGTGTCCAAATGATATTTCAATGGTGTGACGTTTCACAGTGCGCTTGTCTTGAGCAGTCTTTAGTCGCTTCATAGCGACCTCTGTTTTTGGGAAGCGCCCTTGGCTCTCACCTGCTTGAGGCAGGAGAAATATTACCAAGAAACAGGGGAATGAAATACATGCGCACTGGGTTAGCACGGGATCAGGAAATCACCCAAATCAGTTTTCACAGTTACTAGTAGTTACTAGTATCATCTCCTTATTCTGCTTGCTGGCTGCAAATGTTCTTTGTTTCCCCTCAAGATCCGGGATGATGATCCAAACTGACGAGGTTTCACCCATAAACTAACATAAATAGACATAGATATACATAAATCAACTGATTTTTCAGGAGGTGGAAACTGCAGAAACCACCCCATCCAGCAGCAAAAGACATCTGGAAAGATCTGGAAAGTGGCCAGGCCACTTCCCTCCGCTCCCAGCTGAGCCTGGAGCGGGAGCCTCGCGGCGCCTGGGACCCTTTGGAGCTTCTCCAGTGAAGGACGCGGGATATCAATAGGATATAAAACAATGGGAGATGAATGAGCTATAATAAGTATCCCATCAAAAATTGTTATACACAGAATAATCAACAACCACGATATCACATGGGTATACATTGTATCCCACAATCATAATAATATATAATATAATATATATCCCAGTATCATGGATTCTAAATACAATTATAAGTATCCCATTAAGAATTGTTATACCCAGAACAAAAAAAACACGGCTCATCTGAACTACCCACACGTAATCATCTGATCTGATAAATGGGACATGAATGGGGTATCACATGGGTATACAATGGGTTAACAAGTTATCATTTATAACATTTAAGAACGTAGCTATCCAACAATATTACTCAGGTGTGTCTGAGAATGGGGGGTTTCATAGCCAGTCTATGGCAAGTTGAGAGAACATGATGATGACAAATTGGATTTTAAGGGAACCCCATTTTTTGACAAAACCCCCATGAGCTTCAGAGCTAGGGTATCTTTGCAGGACTGGACCGACTCTTGGCCCCGCGTGGCGCGCTTGCAGCTGTTGTATTCCCATTTCTTGGCCCAGATCCTCTGCGCTTTGCCCCTTTCAGCTGTGGCCTCTGGGCTGCATTTGCTTTGGAGGATTGGTGGGGAAGTCTTGAAGATAGTTTTGACATGTTCTGACAGCTTGGTGATTTGAGACCCTTTAGGTTCATAGATTTTCCATCTCTGTCAAGGAAAATTATGGAAAAATACCACTTGAGTGTCACATCTTCCAGAGTTTCCAACCAGGTGGACTGGATGTCCAGTGAACGAATCATTGCCAGCTACAGGCACCTGCACCTGGACAAGCTGAAGTGGAGATTGTTACGCAGGATGAACTTCCGCGCCGGGTAGTTAGTTGGGTGGTTGGGGGATTCGGTCAAAGCAGGAAACAATTCGACATTTGTATCAGTCATTGGACAGCTTGTGTTTACTGTTTGATGTTTTTGTTTTTTTTGGTTGATAGGGGGCAAACACAATCAAAGGGCCTTTTGCAGTTCAGCATGCGCTAGGGGCAGAGGGTTTGAACTTCCTACCTTGTGGGTTGGTTGAATCATTTTGACCTCTGGCCATAGATTTTTCGACTCCGCTTGAGAATGTCAAGAGACCACACAGTTGTTGAGGTGCCCAAACAGTTGATAGGAACCATATCTAGACCCCTGGTAGTTACCCTCTGGTAATCTAAGATAGCTATGCAAAACCACCATTTTTCATAGGTAATAGGTAAACCATCTACAAGTGAGTCATTTTACATAGCGATCTGTTAGATGACATGGATAAAATCCTGGACGGGTACTTGCACCCCCAAACTAAGCAACCCTGGGGTTTACGAATCGGGGTTTGCCCCAATATCCTCAGAAAAGACCAAATGGACGCAAACAGATCCCAAAACATAATTTATCGGTCAATCTACCACACCATCGGATATCTTGACAATTTGTTTGGAGATATTCTATCCATTCAAGGACTTATTTTCATCTAATTTTGGTGATGATCCCAATTGATGAGCTAATACTCTTCAGATGGGTGGCTCAACCACCAACCAGGTAAAGATATTACATATTTTCACACAAGCCAAGGTCATATCATATCGTTGGTGAGATAAATTCCATGAATACCCCATTCTGGTTGGTTTTATGATTATCCCATTTACAATAAGATTCTGGGTACAAGGTGAGGCGGCCGGCCCAGCTATGTTTGTTGGTTTATATACCCATTAACTAAAGTTCATTGCATACCCCATATCCTCAAATGTTACGCAAGATGTGTGCGTCAAGTTAGCTATCGTAAAAGGGGTGCAAACTCGAGTTAACTACGTCATGTCAACTTAGCTCTCTTGGACATGTCGGAGGTCTCACCTTAAGTCCTTAAGTATCTCACGCATCGGCTTCCCCCTCCGCCAGGAGTGTCGAAAGTTTCTGGAGCTGCGCTGTGCGGCGGCCTCCTCGGCTCTAGAACATGAGGCGAGTTTGGCTACCCGTTTTTCACATGGAAAATCGTTTGAAACCTTGGGGAGATCATGGTGATGCGAGCTCCAAATGAGATCAAAGAATGTGATGATGATATAATTAATGTGATCTTACACATTAGACACGCACTTCATTCTCAAATGAAGAGCTGGGATCAGGAGTATGTGAGAAAATCGAAGCTGATGATGTTATCACCATCCCATCCTCTTTGTCCTCGCGGTTTCAGGCTGTCTACAACACTTTGCCCTTGGGTTAAAAATAGGCTTACCTCCATAAATTTTATGGCTTGATGATCATTTTTCCTGATTAACATTGCCAGACATTGGGGCATTCAATGGGATATTTTGGGATTAGAAAATCTTGCCATGTGATTCCAGGGATCTATGAGTGACTCCACACTGGCCACATGCATCCTCTCTATGGTGGTGAAGGCGAGGGACCCCAGGGGACCCCAGGGGGGAAGGGGTGACGAAGCGGTGGCCACGTAGCTCTTTTTTCGATGGGTTTGGAATTGGGTACCTCCAATTCCGCTGGAGGTATCCATACTCCGTTTATTTGGTTTCATAGCATCTTTTCAGACACATCCAGATGGACACAGGTGACTGCAGTATTTGGAAACTCTGCATTTTGCGAAGCCATCCATTTATGAGACTGGTGCGCGCCCTTGCAGTTGCTGGGTTGTACCTACTACTTTTTTTACTTGTGTGGTTTCCAAGAATTAAAGACACCCAAATCCATCATTGTCCACACGAAAGCGGAGCACAAGAAAGGGTTGAAGTTTAAGGCAACTTTCATTTTTGTTTCACGTGACACGTGTTTTTTCATTTTTTTTCTACATGGGTTTGCCAAACATCATGATTTCCCAAACTCCGTGAATCATTGGTCATCCCTCAGCCATTTTCAGGGCTCAAGTTGAGTGAAGAGACCTTGTAGGACCAGCGGAACCAGACTGCCATGCTGTCCATTGCTGTTCTCGTGGGATGCGTCGTGGCGCAACAGCCAGGTGACCTGCAGCGTAGATCTGTGGGATGGTCCATAAACAGCCGTCGGGCCCTTTTGGAACAGAACTTCAGTTAAGTTAAGGGATAAGAAAAGAACATTCTACTTGATAGAACCGGTTTCAGAGGAAATCTAGAGTTTTTCCATCCATGTTTGGCAGGTGAAAAGATCATGGTTTCCTGTAAGCTTTACCATTTACCATCCATTTACCATAATTCCCAGAAGTGGAATGGAACATTCACAGAAGCTGGTTCCTGGTTTCAACTAATTTGATTTTCAACCCAACCACGCCAATATGATGATCCCAATTATTCTATAATAGTTGACACTTGATATTATTCAGATGGCTCAAGCACCAACTGCCTAAGGGAAACTCCAAGCTCCGCTCCAAGCTCCGCGACCGGCAGGCGTCCATGAGGAAGAATACCATCCCCAGATGCCTCTTTGGACCTGCAGCTCAAGCGGATGCATCAAACAGATGAAATCCGTGGCTCTGGATGCGAACTGGCGATGGCTTCACAATGGACAATACACCAACTGCCACTTGGACCACTTCAACATGGCGAAAGCGATTTTTCCAAAAGGGATTCGATTCGCTCAGCACCATGAAACTTATGGAGGACTTGACCCCCAACAAAAACCTGAGGATTTTGGTTGGTTTGGATTGTACATTGAGGATTCCCTGGAGTAAATTGGGTTGGACATGATGCGGACTTGATGGACTTTTGTGGTTTTCTATTGGCCAGTCCTCACCTGCACAGGGAAAAATTATGAAAAATTGGCGTTAGCCCCGACCGAAATGATGTTCACTGATTCCATTTGATGAATTCCTTATAATTCCTTCTTCAAACACTCGAATTCTATGGTTTCCAAGCTCAAACTTTTTATTTGCACCACCATATCTGGTCCCAACAGGGCGGTCACATGCGGTCACCCCGCTTCGGTGGCAGGTTACAAGGACGGCGATTTCAACCAAGAGCTGTGCCCCGATCCAGTGAGCTGTGCTCGGAACTGCCACCTGGAGGGGGCCTCCCAGGCACGGAAAGCCGCATTTTCAGGGCCTGGAGGGGTCCATATTTCTGGGTAAAACATGGTAAAAGTATAAGGACCTCATGTTGCGATGTCACTGCATATTAGATGTTGGCTTTTTCGGAACACCATGAAAACATATGAAAACATCACCTGAGTTCAGGATAGTTCAGGTTGATTGTGTCAAATGTGCTCTTGTATGTAGGTTTTCAAAGGTGTTGCATGCTTCTTAGGGCCCTGCGAAATGGTCACGGAACCAGCGCGTCGGATCCCAGATCGGATTCCGAGTTCAGTACTGGGTTGGTCCGAATCCCACTACCACTACTTACTTGTGCTTAGTAGGGGATTTTCGGGAATGATCCATAATCACCAGTAATAATCATCCCAGCAACCCCCAGCAACCCATCCAGCAACCCTACGTAAAACGCACCACTATCACTAGCCCCATTGGAAATTCATGGTCCGCTGGTCCTTTGGTCCCACCATGTCATCCCTTTCCAGGAGCAGTACGGATCCACCTACGGTATCAAGGAGACGGAGGATGGCATCAAGATTGACTTCGTGACAACCACGAAGTAGCTGGAAAGCAAGTGATGCGGCTATGGCTATGGGATGCTGGCGAACATGAAATCTCCCAAAATCTACCAGGATTTTATAGGAGATATCCATAGAGATATCCATAGATATCCGTAGATATCCCGAATATCCCAGAAATGGGAAAGCAAAGGTCCCAAAGACAGATCAAGAGAGACCAGTTTTGGTTTTCTGATCAGGGCTTTTTTTGACCGTTGAATATCAGAGTTCTGACAGGCCACATGGGTGCAGCAGTTGGTTCATAGATTTGCCCAGGAAATTGGAAAATCTCCACATGGCTTCCGGCCCAGGTACGGTTCAAACTTTGGTTCCCGAGTCTACATGATGGACACACCTGACAGGTGCAAGCTGACTATTTGTGAAGCCATCCCTTGCCAGCTGTGTAACTGCGGAGTCACGTGTCGTCGATATGCATGCTGTGGAAGGATAAAAGCAAAGATAACTTGGATTTTCAGGAGATCGCACGAGATATGCCAGTGATGACTGGGGGTTACAAAACTCAGATTGGTATTTCACCCCCTGTCACAGCATCTGGCCAAGCTGAACAGGTACAGGATCTTCAAGCTGAAGAACCGAGACTTGTTTCCGCTAGATGTGACGTTGTGAATTTTGGGTGCTTTGGGGCCATGAAGAAGAACAGAAATAGAAACCAGTAGTTAAATTTTATGTACCCTCTGGTTATTTAACATAGCCATGGGAAATGCCCCATTTATAGATGGTTTACCTCTTAAAAATGGTGATTTTCCATGGCTATGTTAGTCATAACCAGATAGTAATTTTAAGTTTGGTTTCAGTCTGGCTACATCCATTCACCGGAAATCATTCGGACCTGAAACTCATCTTCCAATGGCCCCTTATCCTTTTTTCCCCAAAGAAATCCCATCTCAAATCTCAAAAAGAATCCAGTTTCCAACCACCCAAAAGTCTCCAAAAGTGTGCCCGTATCAGGAGATAACACTCCACAACATGAGTAGCACAATCATAATCATCCCAATTTTAAAGCGCACTGTAGTATACCCCCCAATATCATCAGGGGTGCTGAACGCAGCCACTGCTGATTTACGGGCACCATCTCAGGGAAATAGTCAGAAATCCCGTCTCAGATCGAAAAGAGGAATTAAGCCAGGTTCCACTAATCAAGACATATCAAGACTATAGCAACTTCAGCAGAGATAAATCCCCTATATATATATTTATACATACACATACATATATATATATATATTGTGATTGGTGTCACAATGGCAGCCAGTTGAAGAACCCTTCACAAAACGTCCTGCTGCAAAGAGATCGGCCAATCCCTTTTTCACCGCGTCAGACCAAATGTCCTTGCTTTGGATGCTCTGATGAGCAATGTTGTTTCCAAGCTCAAAATGAGCTCTGCACGACCAAGCTCTGTAGAGCTTCACCAGCTATGCCGTCCACGGCAACGCAAATGGCTCAAGCACAAGCCCTCCCGCCTGCCCAAGGGCTGCCTCAGCCCATATGTGTCTGCGGCATGAACTGGTTGTACCCTGCATGGATGAAGGTTCGCTGGAAGGCAGTGTTTGGTTGAAAGGACCTGGGAACTCCCCTTGGATAGCTATGCAATTCACACTCCCAAAACTTCAACATCATGTCTTTTCTGCCTCATAAGCACTTGATTGCAACCATTGCATGCGGCTTCGAGCTGAAGCTCGGTCTTTGAGAATGGCATGTTCATCATGTAGTTTGTATGTTCCCATCTCCAACGTTTGGCGCAGGAAGGTTGCTTGCATCACTTTGGTCAGGGCGTCCGCCAATTGTGCACCGCTGTGTACCCACCTGAGCGTTATGCCTTCACTGAGGAGATCTTTTATTGATCTTGCCAACAATTGTGTTCTGTATTCCTGGCAACTCGGTGGTGCTGTACGGGTTACAAGATCATAAAGTGATTTACAATCAGTAACTGCAATTGAAGGTTCTATTGGTTTAAATGTAGGAGCTGCAATTGTAGTTGGGAGGTTGTTCAAGGTTTCTTTTGGACGTTTCCAGTTGAGATTTGGATTGAGTAGCCACCCCCAGAACAGGCGAATCCATGATAGCTGATCCAGTGTTGCATTCAGGGACATTGTCTCAGCGGAAAGTGTGCTCACGACCACTTTCTGTATCTTTTTGCATCCCCAGCTGATGGCATTGACTGGGCATGAGTAGTTTTGGGTGATATTGGAGTGAGTGGCCATGATAATTGATCCTGAATGTGAGTCAGGTTGTTTAGGTGATGAGAATGATGCATCCGAAAACGCAAGGAATCTCAGGTGATTAATGGAAATTGGCTGAATTTTGATCTTCGTGTCTTTATGGCGTTTAGCTTCGTGTAAGGTCTTGTTTGCTTCAATCAGTGTATTGATGGTGGCAGTGTTGATTGCACTTTGCAAATGGCTCAAACGGCTTGATAGGTCAGGACGTGTGTTGACGGCTGCATACTGGAGAGAACCTATGATGCCTCGAAGTGCCAACTTTTCTTCTGCGTTGATGGGTAGTTCAGGTTGCACTTTTCTTTCGCTCTGGATATGGATTGGCTCAATTTTTGTCACGTATTTTTCTTGGGAAAGAACTATAGTGCTGTCTGGTAGTTGTGTCATCTCAATCCCTGTGAAGACAAAATTTTGAGATCTCTTGGATCCAAAGGAAAAGGTTTTCTCTAGTTTGTTCAGCTGTTCCATGAAGTATTCATCCCCACCGCAAAGACCATCATCGACATGCATCCCTATGATCCCTGAAGGTGTCTCCGAATCATTTTTGTACAAAAGGTATACGCATGGATCAAATGGTGAAGGCACGAAGGAAA